GCCGCCCGTAGGCCGCGTGCAGGTCGCGATAGGCCAGCCAGACCGGTGCCCGGGGGGGACACCAACTTGGTAAGTTGTTGCCTGGGTGTTTGCCTAGTTATCATGAGGTGCCACATGTCACAATTTCACTTGAGGGCCAAATCTGCCCTCATTAGAAGTGTTTAGAAACTTCCGCAGTAGGAGCTATATACGAGTCTATAACCACCAAACGACAATAGCTGTGTGATGACTGATGAGTGGGTGTCCACCATTTTGAGGGAATGGGATTAACCAATCTCGTCTCTTCCGATTTCCGACTCTGATTCTTGGCAGCCACGATGCCAATAACATGGTAAAAGTAAAACACGATCGTACTCTGACGAGCAAGAATTCCATCTGCCGACGAACTCTCCAACTCAAATAAAAAAGAAATGCGAATCCCTCAGGCTGGAATGCCTTCTCTTCTTTCTGTTTTTTTCAGATTCTCATACTGCATTAAAAAGTTTCAAATTTTTTTTGCCTTTTAATAATTTCCATTTATTTGATAAATTAAATATCTCAATAGTCACGCTAATATTAATTATTTTAATCATAATACAGTAACACCATGTACTTTTAGCGTAAAAATAAAGCATTATAAGCTTCAGCAATACTCACTTATTAATGCATTGAATAAAAGCACCAAGACTTTGCTGGGTTAAGTAGCCCCCTATTAACTCTAGGCTCTAGTTGACCAAATGGAAAGGGGTAGCTCAACCAGCTAGCTATAGACTTCCAGGACCACATTTTGTTTCTAATGAAGCAACGCAATAATACATGCTTTTATTAGAGCTAAAAAATTGACTAACTCTACTTTTACTGTTTACACATATAGGAAATTGATAAGCACAGTGTTTTTGTCAATTGTCTAAACCCTCCCTTGTCATTAACATCCGTTAGTGTTTTGTCACAATCTAATCACATGTGACATCACGTGACAAATAATATTTTTTTTACCCAATATTACCCTTTTGTGATTGGTGCTCTGTTTTCTTCAAGATTTTTATTCCCAACACTGAAAGTCTTAAACAGGGGGTTTGACGAGTCCTCATTCTATGCACCCGAGGGTGCACGGGATAACCAGATTCGGCCACATCCATTGAGCACAGGATGGGTAACGTTAACGTCGGTTTGGCCGTCAAACAATGGAGTCCGATTCAGCATGACACAAAAAAAGACAAAATTCTGATTTTCATTTCACACTCATTTCGAGCCCCTCCCCATATTTCATTTTATAACTATATCTATGACACCATCTTAAATTTGACTTGATGCTCACGCCCTCAAGGTAAAAATGACAGATGAACAATACACAACCATTAGAGAACCAGTTGTGAGACATGAATTCATTTCATCCTATCAAGTTCTAGAAGGATTTGGCCATTAGAAAACCGGTGTGAGCTACTTCGACCTGTTGAAAATAAAAAGAAAAAAACACATTAGGTATGTAATAAGAAGAGGAATAGGAAGAAGACATACAGACTAGAGAGAGTACCGCCGGATGATTTGTCTCTCGCTGCCGGTGGCTTCGTTGTTCATGAGGGCATTGGTGAGCTACTGTTGTGTTAGGGTTCAAAATGAGGATAGGGATGGGGAGTAATGAAAATCAGAATTTTGTCTGTGTCCTGTTGAACCGGATTCTATTGGTTGACAGCCAAACCGATGTTAACGTTACCCATCCTATGCTCAATTGACATGGCCGAATCTGGCTGATGGGTTCACGCATCCCATGCACCCACGGGTGCACAGAATGCGGGCTCGGGTTTGACAGTGCTTAGCTTTGTTTTAATAGTAGGGAGAGATTTAACTCAAACAAAAGCAGGAGGAATTGAAAGAAATAAAAATAACTACCTCAGTTTCCAAAACCATAGAAACATGTGCTTAAACTTTGTAATCTAGCATCGGAGTGTGCATTCTGGTATTGGGTAGAATGATTCCAATCTTACATCTGGATAGGAATATCTTCTTTCTAATCAAAGGCATTGGTAGTTTGATTTGCGGTTGTATAGCGTCTTCATCCCATTTTGAAAAAGTAGAAACAGGGCAATGTAATAGAGTAGTGGTTGTTTTCATTTTAAAAATTCAAATAAGATTGCAAGGTAAAATAGCCATTCTAATCTTTTCGTTTAAAGTAACCAACAATTGTCAATTGTCAAAACACTTAAGGATACCTTAAGTCAATTTCTAAACAGTAGGGGTAAATAAATCAATTTCCTAAGCCTTAGCGATACTTTTAAGAAATTTGCCTTTTCTTATGACAGAAGAAAAGAAAGAGAAATGGAGGATGCGCGTCCCCATCATAAATCCACACTACATCCAATGGTACATTTCCTCACTATATAATTGCTCATGCTTGTGACCTAACGCGAGAACGACCACCCCAAAATTCGGCTCCATTTATTTTCCCCTCACCAGTTTTTTTTTTGGGTCTCCACTCTGATTCAAGTCCGTTTGTCCTCCCCCCACCCCCTCTAACCACAACCACACCGGGGTAGAAAAATTTTCCGACCGCTAACTCTATAATCGTAGATTGTTTCAACTGCAACAAAGAAGCATCCTTAATGATTTTATCAACGGGAAGGAGTAATTAGTGGTCTGTCTTAATGGGATAGACCAGATACAGATCCTACATTTGAGACAATATCAAATATATTCGTGCTACAATTTTGTAAAATCCTCTATTCAATTGCTAATCTACGAATATGGATATACCCCCCCCCCCCAATAGAATTTGGGATCCGTTTGGTTCACAGTCGGAATCAGAATCAAAATCAAAATCCTCCAGAATCGGAATGGCCCATATGGTCCATTTCCGTTCAGACAGGAATGAGAATGGGAATTAAGGCTCTGTTTGGTTGACAGGAATAGGGGTCTGATATCGGAATCGGAATGGGTTATTCCAATTCCAACTGTTTGGTTGGGTGGAATCGGAATACCATTCCCATTCCTGCTGGAATGGCCATTCCCTCCTCTATTCCTGTCAACCAAACAGAGCCTTAATTCCCATTCCCATTCCTGTCTGAACCATTCCGATTCTGGAGGATTTTGATTTTGATTCCAATTCCGACTGTTTGGTTGGGTGGAATCAGAATACCATTCCCATTTCTGCTGGAATGGCATTCCCCATTTGAGGGAATGGCCATTCCCTGCCCCTCCCTTGGGAATGAAATCCCATTCCTGCTTATTTTAATTCCCATTCCCATTCCTGTCTGAACCAAACAGACTATAGGAATGGACCATTCCGATTCCGATTTCAGAAGATTTTGATTCCGATTCCAACTGCAAACCAAACAGACCCTAAAATTAGCAGGAATGGGTTTCATTTCCAAGGGGCAGGGAATGGCCATTCCCTCAAATGGGGGAACCCATTCCCATTGGAATGGAAATGGGATTCCGATTCCGCCCAACCAAACAGTTGGAATCGGAATAACCCATTCCAATTCCGATTCCAGACCCCTATTCCTGTGAACCAAACAGAGCCTTATTTCCAACCGAAACACCCCATTTGGGAATTGTTACCATGGAGTCAGGGAGGGGAGGGAAGAGTGATCACCTCAAACTCAGATTCCACACGAAAGAAAGTTCTCGCTCAGTCGAGGGCATTGCGAATAGTGATTCTTTTAAGCAGTGGGCAAAGGAACAGAAAATAAAAAAACAACCTACACGTAAAAGACTCGAACCAGTTTAGTACACCATAAATAATACCTCACGGATGGCACATCCACTCTCTGCACTTGGATGAATCACACATTGGCCCGGACATTGTTGAGTTGCAGAAACAAAAAGTTAACAAAAGTTTCAGAAGCACCAACCTAGGCGGCGGGAAAAAAAAAGAACCAACCACTCGTACACTGTCAAGAAATCACTGAATATGCCCCAAATGACAAGGCTACAGATCAATGGTTTGATTAGCACATTGCAGCAGCCACACCTAGAAAACCATACACTGCAGCTTACTTTCTTTGAGCAATAAACCATTCCTCTTTTCCCCTTTCCTAAAATCCAAGAGGCAATATCCAACCAGCATAAAGCCCACAAATCTTTCAAGGCAAAGTAAAACTTCAGAATCGATGACTGAGGCCTGTACCTCATCAATCAGTATTCAGAAGGGGAGATAACATCATCAATCTTCAGAATCATCTTCACGACTTGAGTAGCCAGTAAGATTTGCTGTTGCTTTCCAATGAGTGTCTCAAAGACATTTTGTTCACGCATATCATTTGTTCCAACATCATTGCAATCTATTCCACAGCATGGGTTGTTCTCCTGCAGAGAACATTAAGTTTTGAGGTTGAAAGTCATCCAAATATACCACATTGGTGCAGTATAGAGTATCAAAATGTTATACACTGAATTATGAGCATTTTAATTGCTTACCTTGATTTGTTGAGCTTTGACTGCTGACAAAGTTTCAATAGGTTGGAGGCCACTGTTTTCAGCTAGTGCCATAGGGACAGAATCCAAAGCATCTGCAAACGCCCTGATAGCATACTGCAGAAATAAAGAAAAAAAAAAGGACAAGTCACCTAAAGATGTGTCACTGAGAAAAAAAGAGAAGCAAATAGGAACCCATCACTACCTGCTCAACTCCAGGATATCTATCAGCAGCTGACTCTACGGCAACTGAGCAAGAAATCTCAGCAGAACCACCACCATATACAATAGAGTTATTGCAGATCAGATTCCTAGCAACACAAAGGGCATCATGGAGGCTTCTTTTTGTCTCTTCTATCATCATTTTATTACCTAAACATCAGCAGACAGCAGATTCATTATTTGCAGGTCCAATCTTTTCTATATTGGAATAAAATGAAGCCCTATGGCTTTTATAAAGGCCATTTCCTATTGAGAAAAGGAATAAAAAATGTGATCTGTTGAGGCTCGAGTCCCATGCATGTGAAGGTCGAAGCACCTAGCCTCATGCCTTGTCCTTTAATATACATACAACTAATACTCAAGCTCAGCAAACCACACCAAGAATATCCACATATCTGTCTGGTTAGCAGCATCACAAGTTTATCATCTACCAGGCTATCTGGAAACTGTCTATCCTATGAACTAAAAGAAACCCAAACAAACTCACAAAGATCTTTATTTAGTTGGTGGTTAGCAAGAGAATCAATCATAGATATAATCCCCCAGATACAAACATCTCATAATTTAATTATTGATTGTGAATATGGATTAAGTGCAAATGTTGGGACATTGAAACACCCAGTAGCAGTTCAACTCCTCTTTCTTAATTGGTAACAGAACAAATTTATTGGCATCTGAAAAAATAATTAATAGCACAAACAGAACATGTACTTTGCACTGCCCAAGATTTCAATCCCAACCATTCATCCCCATCAATTCAGTATTTATAATCCTAGAACCCCACTTTCTAGTTTAATGGTCATCCAAAACAGATGACTTCTACTAACACACTGCACAGCCAAAGCATGTGCAAACCTGTTTGTAGTTCTTTGAACCCATGTAAAGGATGCATCAGGTTCCCTAGTTAGGGTTCCCACTTTTTTCCCTTTTTTGAAAAGGTAAAATATGGTATTGCTGTAGAAATTTGACAACACAGAGTTCTGCTGTTAATTCTACCAAAAAAGGGGTTTTTCCATGTGCACACAAAGACAAAACTCTATTATAAGCTATATTTCTGAACTCCTTGGGTGCTGACAAGTGCCAACCAAGAGCAAAGCTTTCCTTTCAATGGAGATCAAAGTCCCTAGACTGTCATTTTTAAACCAATCAATTAAAGCACGAGATTCCCTTTCAATTATGAAGCCCCTACAGTTTTCCTTACCATACATATATATATATATATATGAAGTCTCTATAGTTATGGCTTTCCTCAATCTAAGTCTTTGGCATACAGCCAGCAAATTCTAACTTTTGAGTCGCCCCTGTCAAGAATTCCTCTTAGTCCTTGGGAATGTGAGGTTCCCATCTACACTCCATGACTCCATCATATCCCTTCTTTAAATATAGTGGTGGCTTTTACATCCTAGTTGGTAATATGGAGGTGGTTATAGACTTGCAGTAAGCTTCATGAAGACATCTATTGAGAAAACAAATGCCCTCCCTAAGGAATTTCACATCTTTTAAACTTGTCCCTTACTAAGGCTGCCTTCTCTCCTGATGTAATCTAGCTAATTCTTCAGATTACCCAAATTTTCAATTTAATCAAGTATGTTTTCCTTTCCATTTATTGTCTATGCACAATAAACAAAAGGAACTCAATTTCCATATATGTGTCTGGTGTGCACAAAGCAGATGACCATATTCATACTTGAGTTTGTACAGGTATAATACATCCTAGAGCTAATTCATTGTTATCATTTGGTCTTGAGTTCTAATGCCCTCACTCTCACTTGTTTTGTTACTAAATTTGCATTACATGTATTCTGCTTTAGTTCTACTTATCTTAAGATCCTTTAGATCCTAGGACATCTTTCCACAATTCCAGCTTCTTTTTCCTTTTCTCATCTATTTAGCCCAGATAATCTCATCAACAAGCATAAGTTGCGGAGCCTTCGCTTGCAAATGCTAAGCTAATTCATGGTTAATGTAAACAATATGAGCTAAGGGCAGACCCACACCCCATATAGACCAATTGTAATTGGAAATTTAGTGCCATCTTATCAAAATGTTTTAATAGTTAATACTAATCATTTCACCACCATTCTAAAAGGACTAAACAAGAACTTGTAAGAATTCCAAAAAGATAATGTCATACACTCGGACTGCAAGAAATATGATTTACCAAAAGCAAATAAGAGATCATGATTTTGCCTTTTAAAATGTTCTCTATGTAAAAGGAACAAGAAATATGAAAACAAGTATAAACCTACCACCACGAATAAATATGGTTACAGCCCTTGAATTTGCACATTGCTCAATATAAAGCATCCGATCTTTTGTTGTACCAAATGATTTTTCTCTGACCAAACCAGCCTGCATGGAGAAGAAAGAAGTGGATAAGATTAACTTTACAGGTTTTGACAGCATGACATAAACACAGGTTCCCAAGACAATGTTAGTTCTCTAATGGAAAATAAAGATGAAAATCCACACATAATAAGATGAGTTGAATAGGGGGTGTCTTAGACAAGTTTAACCCATCAAATGGCCATGGTTGCAATGGTTGTTAATTGATACAACTTATCTGCACGGGGCTGCTACAGTGTCCAGCACTCAGTCCCAACCAATTCTTGATGATGTACCAAGTAATTAACTAGGGCATAGGCCTAACCTTATTGAAAGTTAACCTTGGGAAAAGTTGTGTTGTGGGGGTGAATTTGGAGGAGGGAGAGATCAGGGAGAGTGCTGAAGTATTGGGGTGTGAAGTCTCGGGTTGGCCTTTGAACTACTTAGGGTTGCCTTTAGGGGATAATCCCATGAGAGAGAGCTTTTGAAACCCGGTGGTGGAAAG